CCCCCAAACCCACTCCCCACCTCCTTTTTCATTTCCCTTTTTGTACCTCCTTGTTTAGCCTAAAAAACTTGTGGTCGTAAAAGTTATCCTAAAATATTTGAAAGCCTTTGGGGGAGTAGGCTTGTTCTGTGGGCCCCGGAGGCAGAGCGAAGACCTGAGGCTGGTAGATAGGACCTGGAAAGACAGTTCACTTCAATTTTGTCCCAGTAGTGGGACCTCCAAAGGTGGGATGGGAGTCACTGGGTCAGGCAGAGGCTAGACCGCACCACGTCTAGGTCATGGTGCTGTTTGTGGAGGGCCCGGTGCCGTGGACGGGCAGCTGGATTATGATAATCCCTTCCGATTTTATCAACAAAGTCCTGGACGGACCCTTTGGGGATGCTCAGAGCAGCACCTCTCAATTGGGAGATTCTTTTGTGCTCCTGCCGGGTTAGGCTGGGCACAAATACCAGCCCTTTAATGGTGTCATGAATATTTAAATGATTCTGAGGCAGGCTCTACCAGCAGCCCTCAACTTGGAACCGGTTGACAAGCCTTGAGCCGAAGGTCAAGGGTCCCCTGGTTTTTGTCTGTGTCATTCTTTCCTCCAGTAGCAGCCTCTGTGAGGCAGTTTCCTATTCCGTGACTCTTCTTTGTTTCTTTATTTAAATCCTCACTCTGGCAGTGACTGCTCTTATTTTTCATTGCGAACATATTGTATTTTGGACCCATTACCACAGAGCAGACAGACTGGAAGGTGTGCAGGTATGTTTTGGCTTTTAAAACTTTGAACGGTGTTTAAAAATCAAGAGTTTAGCCCAGCCAGCGTGGCTCAGTGGTTGAGCACTGATCTATGAACAGGGAGGTCACGGTTGGATTCCCGGTCAGGGCACATGCCCGGGTTGCGGGCTCGATCCCCAGTGTGGGGCATGCAGGAAGCAGTTGATCGGTGATTCTCTCTCATCATTGATGTTTCTATCTCCCTCTCCCTCTCCCTTTCCTCTCTGTAATCAGTAAAAAATATATATTTTTTTTAAATCAAGAGTTTAATATAATAAGTCTGGATTTCCGCCTTCTCCTGAAAAACAGGGTGATCTGGGCTCCTGGGGGCTCCATCCCCAGCTGGTCCCCCGCAGGCAGGCTGGGGAGGGAGGGTCCTCCTTCCACTTGGCATATCCCCCCAGCGGCTTCGCCTTTCTTACCTGCCGGCCGGCCCACGGGCATTTGAGTTTGTGACTTTCTGACGAGACTGAAATAGGCTTTTGCGGGCTATCCTGGGAACCCAAACAATATTTTTTTTAGCATATTTCAATGGGAAAATGAATATCAGCTTTTAAAGAGCAGATATATCAACAATGCAAATTTGGGAATGCTGACAGGGTCCTCAACTAGAATGGTATGTCTTGAGATGATGACCTGTGTCTTACGTGGTTTGCCGTGTGTGGCTTAGCACCTCGTAGGAACTTAAGAAATGATTTTCTGAGTGCTCGTCATCTGCCCTCCCGGGCGGAGCACAGAAACACCTCGTCACTGTGCCTGATCTCTCTCTGCAACACCCACTCAGGCCCTAATACTGGTGTGGAGTTTAGGATCAGTCTCCTGCCCAGCTCCCCTGTCTGGAGAGAAACAGTTTCTCTCTGCATCAAAGCTCCTGTCCCTGTAGAGTGGGTCCTAATGAGGACATGAGAGGACGTAGAGGCTGCCCCAAGCCTGCTGTCCTGGCCGATGCCAAACGGGAGTCTGTGGCAATGACAGGGTGCTTGCATTCCAAACCCTGGACAAGGGCTGGGTAAAAGTTCAGCTCATTCCCTTTAAAGAAAAAAAAAATTCTTCGTCTTTGGCATTGCAAAGTTTTGACCCAGATCCGTCAGAGGCCATGGGGAGCTCGCGATGTTTGGAGAGCCGGGCTAGTTTCCGAGGCCTGTAGCTGCAGAGAAGCCCAGGAGGACCAGTGGCCTGCTGGCTTGGAGGGGAAGCCCTGCCTTTGCAAGTTTGCCCCGGCCCAGCCTCGGCAGGCCCCCGAGTGTCCCTGGGAGGAGCCAGCCCCTTCTCCTCACCCACAAGTTATCTCTACCCCCCGAAGTCAAACACGGCACGCAGCACCCTGTAAAGTCGCTTCCTGGTAGGCTCGAGCATGCTTGCTAAGTAAACATCCTCCCCTGGTTTTTTTGGAACCAAATTCGTTTCTGCTTCCTGGTCATCCCATTGGGGTGTTTCTGCTCTCGGTGCCACGCAGAATCAAGTTAACAGAAGAGAGAGCTAGAATTGGGCAGAGGCACCTAAAATGACCGTTTCAATCCTAGCGACATGGTAAGAACGGTGATGGGGCTGTGGGAAGAAGAAGAAGAAGAGAAGACTTAGGTGAAGAGTGAAATCTAACAAAAGCTTCCCAAACATAGAGCTTGTCATCCTGCTTTGCAAGTCAGAATCGGTTCCGGCTGAGCCCCTGAGACGGGGACCTTTCTTTGCATTTACCCAAGCTCAGTGGCTGGCCACAGTCGGCCTCTACCTGCAACCTCTGTGGCTGTGAACGGCCCTCCTCTGACCCGAACTTGCTCTTGCTCCGTCTCTCATGACTGACTTGCCTCTTCTTTCTCACCGCCACCCACCCGTGACATCCCCAGCGCCATGGCAGTGAGCAGCCACGTCATTCACCAGGTTCACCGGGTGATGGGCCAGCTGTGCGCGGAGCCCTACTTCCCTCTGGTTCTCTGTCCCGGAGCAGGAGGCTCCCTGGCAGAGCTCAAAGCCCTTTGTTTATTTGATCCTGGGCTCTTGGATAAATCAGGAATGTCCTGACATGAACTTAGGCATGTTTTTCTTCCATGGAAAAGGAAACTCCGGCAAATGGTATTTAAGTAGGCAGAGGACCATTCCGGGGGGCTGGCCCTAGTGCCATCAAGGCCGCATTCCTTCGGCCATCAGACCAGTAGGTAACTTCTTCATTGGCATGCTCTACCCTGGAGCCCAGAAGGTGTGAATTTGAAGCACTTTGCCCCCCGCGGGGAGCCTGGCACCGATGATGCCCTGGGCTTCTTTGAAAACCGTGGAGTGCCCTGGTTGTCTTCCAAGTGGTCTTCTTGCTGCGTGAAACCGGGGCCCAGGGTAGTTGCTTGAAGAAGGCTGCTGGGGAGGCAGGGCACGGGATACCGTGGCTGCCTGGCCTCTCTTTCTCAAACCATCTTCTTGGGAGTGGCAGGGTTCTTGGTGTGATGTACTTTATGAGTCACCTGCCCCAGGACCCGAGTATCTCTCTCACTTCCAGTCAGGTCTAGCCTCCTATGGTGCAACTGTTGTCAGAAACCTTTATGGGGTCTGGATTCTTTGGATGTATGGTGTGGGACCCAAGACCCCTTGGGTCTGCCTAGGTATACAGGGTCCAGTGATAGCATCGGAATTGTTCTGGAAACATATCTGGGTCTGTGCTTTGCTGTAGTGGAGACGTGTCAGTCTCCTAAGACAGTCTCAGGCCTTCTCCAGAGCATTGGTGCCCCTCCTCCCCCCGTCCCCAAAAGAGTGTCCAGGTACGTGAATGCCCAGGCATTACCATCACAGGGGCAGTGGGGGTGGGCTGGTGGCGCCTTATCTCACTTGGCTGCCCACCCCCAGAGAGAAGAACCCAGCCCTTGGCCACTCCAGGTCCAGGCGTGGCTGCCGCTCTGTTTTGCTGCTTTTCATGTTGTCGGAGGATCTTCCTGGGAACAAATGACTCAGCAACCTGGATCTCCGGGACTGAGTGTGGCATAAGTGCCTTTTGAGGAGCGATTGGACGGATCCACCCCGTCTCTAAAATTCTGAGCTCAGGAAGAATGGAGACCCAGATGGTTTTGCTCTGGATTCTTCAGGCTGCCATTCAATTTGGGCTCTCCGGTTCCTGCCCCGATACAAGGATCTCACTCGTGGGATAAGCCAGGCAATGTTTTAATTACACTTTTTGTCTTTAGGAAATTCCAGGGAGAAAAAGGTCCTGGTTGGTGGCCAAAAAAGCAAAACGCAGCACAGACCAGCTGCGCTGTGAATCTGGACTTGTCTGTGGCAGAAAGAGTTAAGAGGACAGTGGTCTCAGGGTGAGGACCATTTTTTTTCTCATGGCCAGCCGGGAGAAGCTCACAGGGCCTTCTCCCAGGGCTCAAGAAAAGATGACGCAACATTTGGTGTGGGACAGCCCTGCCTGCCTTGTGGGCGCTGTCCCTCAAAGAGTTAAGCTGGTCTTGTGGCTGAGAAGCCCTCAGGGAAGGTGTGAGCCTGCAGGCACCAGGCTCTCCATGCCCCAGAGCAGTGAGGTGTGGGGTAAAAATGGGACCGGGGGAAAGTGTGGCCAGGGAGCCGAGTGCAGGCCCAACTTTTTTTTTTTTTGCCTTGTTTGACCAGCCTTGGCACTGCCCTCAGGCTCTCCAGGGGAAAAGCTGCAGTTCTGCTCTTGCAACACAAGGAGCAGACTGGAGAATTTAGATCTGCGTCACAGAGCTCAGAGAGAGAGAGGGGGAGAGGGAGAGAGAGAGAGCGCTCCGTCGATAGGTCTGCTAGCAACAGCCGTGCTGCAGCAGAGAGAGAGAAATCAAGAAACAAGTCATAGCAACACCGGGCACCGGGTTCTGCCAGCTCACTTGCCAAGCCGTTCAGAAATCTGCTGGGGGCTGGAGGCCTCTGGGTAGCCTAGGCTATAAGAGGATGATACGCAAGGTGGCACGGGCGGTTCCCGTGGGGAGGAGGTGGGGAGGGGGGGACAGGGGTGGGAGCAAGAGGTGGTGGGGCCACGGTGGAAGACTTAACCCGACCGATTTCTGGAACATTCGAGACTGCGGCATCTTACAGCCGGACCAAGATTTGGGTCTGCGCAGCCGGCGATGGGCGGTCCGATGGGCTTCAGGACTTGATGGCGTAACCCTCTTCTTCCCCCACGTACGTATTTGCTGGGATCGGGGGCGATGTCTCTGCGTATGTGGGCGCTCTGTCTTTCTCACCTCCTTTCTCACTTTTTGCTATTTTTTTTTCTTGGAGAGAGAGCTTTTTTTTTTTTCCCACTTCAGTTTCTTTTCCCTTCGTGTCAGCTGCTCAAACCTGTTCAGGGGAGAGGAGAGAGGAGCAAGCTGTCCCAGGCGTCCGACCTGACCTCCTAGTCTTTATCCTCCTTTTCTTCTGTTGGGCAGACATACGGACTGGTTTTCCAGGTTAAGTGTCAGCACTGTCTATCTGTCCGAGCAGGTCTCAGGTAGAAGCGGGGTGGGGGGGGGGGGAGAAGGAGAGGTGCTGAGAGGAAGGCCAGGGCACAGTTGCCCAGGGGCTGCCTTATTGAAACACTCAGCCCTGGGAATCTGGCCGGTGAGGAGCAGGTGGGCAGGGTGGGGTGTGGGCTGGGAGACGTGGGGTGAAGCTGGTTGGTTTGTCACTGCGTAGTTGGGGAAAGTGGGGAATGGTGACGCAGTCACTGTTGCATCTTGTTAGGATCTCTAGGGGGACAGGTAGTGAGGTTCCCGGGGTGTGTGGGGCCAGCCGAGAGGGTTTAAAGGCAAGTTGAGCAGGGAAGCCAGCATTTAGAGATTAAATGTCATCCCTTTGGCGTTGGAAAGTTGTTTACCTTGCGCGCTCTGTGTCTCCATGTTGGCACCCTTCCAGTTCACATGTGATGGCCTTCCTTGTACTGCTGCATCATTAACTAAGTGACTGAGCTGGCCTTCCATTGGCCAGGGGAGGGCTCTCACTCCAGACACTTCCTCTGATTGGTGGGTTGGCCCGTGGCAGGTGAAAACCTCTTTTTCATTGGCTGAGGGCAAGGTATCAAATCTGAATTTGCATTTCACTTGCTTAAAGGGGAGGGGGGAGAAGCCCAGCAGCTTTCTAAAATCTGTTTAGGGGTGTGCGTATGTGCTCCGGGGTGCCTGCTTCTGACTGACCAGCAGAAACCTCTCCCTGGGCCTTTTTATTTCACGCACTCTAAGGAAGAGGAGCTCAGGGCACCCCAAACTTCGTACAGGGGGAAGGGCTGGGGAGGTAGACAGGTGCACAGAAGGTTGGCCCAACTGGAAGAAAATATCTGTCCTTTAGTTTGGTGTCAGAAAAGGGAATTTTCCAACCAGCCACACCTCAGTGTTGCGGCAAAATAATTCTTGGCTCCCCTGGAAACGCCCGGGCAAGGTAGGGCAGAGCTGCTGCTGCTGCTATTGCCACCCCCCGGGCTTCCTGCCGACTCTGGGCTACTCCCAGGGGGGACCAGAGATTTGCATTGACGTCTGGGGCTGCCCAGAGCTGAGCCCAGTGTGGGAAGGACCTGCCTTCTGGAAGCTGCTGCTCCCTGGCGCTTGCAAAGGTGAGGATGGGACCGACCCCCTGGATGTTGCTCAGAAGCTGCGTATCAGGTGGGGTTTCAGGGAGAGCCCCTGGGGCCCGAGAGGTGAGCCAGGCTTGTCCTTCTGGGGAGAGACGAGAGTGAGAGCAAAACTAGGGCAGCAGGCTGTTCCTCTGGCTGGGGGGCAGGGGACGGGGGAAATTCAGGGTTCCAGCTCCCCATCCCGTCTGTGGTGCAGGTCTCACATTCATGGGGAGGGGGTCCCCGAGCCCTGCCCTGCCCTGCGCAGTGGCCCCCGCCCATGACTGCGCATCTGGGAGCGCAATGCGCCCTGGGTCTCTGGCCTAGGGCAGCACCGCCCTTCTTCTTACATAACGGAGGGCACGGCTGCGCCTGCTCGGCCCTTCCTCGCCAGCCTACCTCCTGGCTCCCGGGGCCCAGGAAGCTGGGGAGGGTCTCACAGGGGAGCCATGAAAGGTTCCGCTGTCGTCCGGTCAGAGGTAGGAGCTAGGTTTGCAGACAGAAGGGGGCTGACAGCTGTTCCTCGTATTGGGGTGTAGAACGTAGGCTGTCCTTCTGAGTGCCCGGGGCCACCTCTGGCCCCCAGGACCTCCCGGGGGCATGGGCTGATGCCCTTCCTTCCCTCTTATGCTTCTGGCGTTTGAGAGGCAGTTTCTGAGGGGAACAATGTGCCAGTTGGGAGAGTGAGGAAAGGCTGGGGGGCCCCGGTGGGAGGTGGTTGGCCGTCGACTACCCTTGTCACTGCCCTCCTTTCCCTAGGTGGGCTGATAATGTGCTTGGACTCCTTTCCTTGCAAGGCTGCCATTTTGGAGGTGTGTGTGCTGGTCTCTGACACGGTGACGTTGGTTTTTCTGGTCCTGCTGTGCCGGTTCTG